TCATATCATATCATATCATAATATATTAAACATCATTTATTATATATTATCATATATATTATTATTGTAAATCGCATATTGTTGCACCTCACATTCATCCACACGTGCAAGCGATTTAACCTTGTATTAAAAAGGTATAATTCCCCTTAGCTTAACTGATGAATGGAATCAATCTCACAACTTCCATTAGGTAGGTGATGTATTCCAGACATGGCTAGGCAATGGGAATGATTTAAGCTCACTTCAAGAGTGAGTGGCAGACAAATTTATGAAAATTTATAAGAATTTTATTCTGGTAAATTGTTTCGTGTCCTCTGACATAGTGTACCTCCTTTCTTCCATCTAACGAAGCCTAATCCAAGTTTGTCCAGACTTTTTGGAATTTTTGTGTTCTTAGAGCTAAAGTTCTCATAAATTTGCGCACTGTGTAGCTTGTTTAATGCCGTTTTGTCGGAGTTTCCAATTGTATCTCGGCTTTTAAAGATGATTTATTCGGAGATCGGTTTAGTCTGCAATTTGTTAATTTTTTAGCTATCTTACGCTATCCAACGCGCCGTCACATAATGACAAACCGACAAAAAGTGGCGTAGAATTGTACCTAAACGGCTATAACTTGTTTCGACCAAGTGCTCTTTCGTTCTACAATCGCAGTTTGCACATGGCATTCCACTCAGCCGCTTAAAATCTGCATCCCAGTTTTATTTCTACCCGAAAGATGGAAAAACACCTGTTCACCAAACATCCATTTTTGTCTTAATGGTGGCCGGACTTTGCCGGCACACACTGAAGTAACATAAATATGCTACAATGAGTATGTGTCTGATAACGTCGGAGATGTTGTTCATTGAAGTTTGGGTTCATTTCAGCGGAAATTCGAGAACCCACGTGAATTTCGGTTTGTGTCACATGCGCCACCCAGAGGCCATAGGCCTCACAACCTCTACGTTTGCTTAGTATTGTGTTCCTCAGTGGTTCCCTTAATAAAATGCCAGTGTGATCCAAGATGTATATGCCACTGATGCTCGCGAAGGGGGTAATATCTCACTGGAGCGTATTATATCAGATTATACTATACTGTTTTGTATTATATTATATCGTATTATGTTATATCACGCTATCATACCATATTATTGTATTACATCACATTCTTCTATTAATTATATTAATTATATCATATTATGTTACGTTATGTTATGAGATCGGAAGAGCGTCGT